AGAATAGAGAGCCCAGAAATTGATCTACACAAATGTGTTCAGTTGATTTTCAACAAAGGTGCAAAAACAGTTCAATTCAATGGAGAAAGGATAGTCTTTTCAACAATTGGTACTGGAGCAATTGACATCTATTTGCCACAAACAAAAACTAATCTTGAACCATACCTCACACCTTATGCAACAGGTAACTCAGAGTGAATCATATCCCTAAGTGTGAAACCTAAAACTATAAAGCTTCTAGAAGGAAACAGAAAAAAAAAATACTTCTGACCTTGGGTTAGGCAATGGCTTCTGTAATAAGATGCAAAAAGCACAAGTCAACAAAATGATAAGTTGGGCTTCATCTAAATTAAAAACTGCTTTTTAAAGATGGTTAAGAAAATGAAAAGTCACAGACTGAAAGAAAATTATAAAGCACATATCTGATAAAGATCTTGTGTCTGTTATACATAAAGAACCTTCAAGAATAATAAGGAAATAAGCAACCCAATAAAGAAGCAATGGCAAAAGATTTGCACACACAGCTCACCAAAGATGACGTGCAGCTTGCAAATAAGGACATGGTGCGATAGTCATTGTGAAGGATCTTAACTGCAGGAAGTACAGACCCGTGCAGTGAGATCCCACCACACAGCTGTTAGAATGTCTCGAATTAAAAGCTACCAATACCAAGTGCTGACAAAGGACCCAGAGCATCTGAGACCCTCCTTCTTGGCTGCTGCAACTGCAAGATGCCACAGACACCTTGAAAAAGTTTGTTGGTTTCTTACAAAGTTAAACCTACACCTGCTATACAACCCAACCATTCTACTCCTGGATATTCACCGAGAGAAGTGAAAACATGCTCATTGAGAAACCTGTATGTGAATATTTAGAGTGACTGTATTCATAGTCAGTACTCATAGACACCTGGCAAAGAGAGAAACTGATACAGCCATGTAATGGAAGACTCATCAGAATAACTAAATGACTGATAAATGCAATGGCACAGACGAATCTCCAGTATATCATGCTAAATGGAAGAAGCTGCTCAAAAGACTGCATCCTTTGCGATCCATTTATACAACATTCCAGGGAAGGCAAAACTGTATGGAACTTTCTGTATCTTGATTCAGGGGTAGTCATGTAACTGTCAGCATTTATCAAAACTCCGCCTGTACCTAAAGAGGGTGAAATTCACTGTACGTAATTTACATCTCCATCGACCTCATGTCACAGGGAAAAGAAACGTTTTTTCTCTTGTGCTGAAGTCACAGGAAAGATGATATAAATGCTGTGTTTAGCTTCCATCAGAGCTTCCCCCTCCATCTCTTCCATCTCTTAGTGATTTGTGGTGATACAAAGGCCGTGTCCTTGGCTGTAATGTAGACGGGAGACACTGGTGGAATCAAATAACCCCCTGACTGTGGACTCAGGACGCACACCATTACCTCTTCCTCCTCCACCTCCTCTGCTGCCTCTGTTCATGGAGGTGACTTGATTGTTTAGTGGGGAGGGAACAGTTTGTTGCTACACAGTGGGAAAAATAATAAAAAGCACAAGGGAAAAGCAAGTAACAGGCAAATTCGCTCATTTCAGGTGATCAGAAGCTGTGCGAGTGGAGAGGAGAAGCTCAGAGTGCAGGCGTTTAATGTGTTGGCCATCTTTTCCCCGTGGGTCCCTCTCCCCTTTGCCTTCACCCAAGTCTTTTCTCAATCTTGATAGCCATGTTCCTGTTTTGAATTTGATCTGCTGCACCCTGAACCTTTTTAAATTCAGAGGGGTTGAAAATAAGACTCAGCCCTAGGGCTGCCAGACTCCCCAGATAAGGATTTACCCCAAAACTGCCTTAAACTGCTACTTTCCCAAAAGTCTTCTGGGGACCCTCTCATCTTTCTTTGTTCCTGAACCCCAAGTTTTTCTTTGCAACAGGAAGGGAGTTGTGTTTCTTTGGCTTTCAGCGGATGCCTCTGTGGGAGGCTTCAGAATCGTAATTGGTTTCTGTCTGAGTGGAAGCCAAGAGGTGTGAGGAACCAGGAGTGTCAAGATCCTCATCGGAACAGGATCAGCAGCACCCGACACCACACTGCAGCCTCCGGGAGCTCTGTTTACAGGGAGGCTCAGCCTGCGCTGGGCCTGGGCCCTTGTTCACTGGAAAGCTTTTATCCAGCCTGAAGAGAACACGGTGGAGAGGACGTGACAGAGCCAATGATGAAGAGCTGCCACCCCGGGAAGCCATATGTAGCGCGGTCTCAGTTGCTGCCTCCGTCCTGAGTGGCAGTCACATCCTGGCTTCCCAGGGTGGGCGCCTGCATCTTCCACGGCATCTCTGCCTTCTCCCGGCCTCTCCAGCCACTGGCTCCCTCCTGCCTCACGCTGCAGCTCCACTCCTGCCCGTGCTTGTCCTGTGACCCACATGGTAATAGCTGGCTGTCCTGAGACACACTTGGGGTGGTTCCAGAACTGTGTTTTTGTCCAGAAAGTCTATTCCCCGCTCAGCAAGGGCTGTAAGGGAAGGCTGTGGGCTCTGTCCTTGGGCTCAGATTAGGGAAGTGGTAGCCCCCTACCCCTGGAGGCCACTTTCCTGGGCTGGGAGAGGGCCCTTGCAGTGCCATGGCAACAGGACAGGTGCCAGTCCACCTGAGACCCTGCGGCTCCTGTCTCCTGGCGTCCTGCGTGCCCCTCTGTTCGGGCAGGGGCTCCCTCTCCACCTTGCGGTCGTTGGCTTTGTCATCTTTGGAGCTGACGCTCTGAAGCCACCCCATGTCTGCCCCCCGCATCGGGATTCCTTGCCCGAGCTCAGGCCAAGGTCCTGGAATTCCCACTGGGTTCCTCTGCCTTCCTGCTCTAAAGTGCGTTTCAGTCTCTTTCTCTAATTTATTCCCAGAGAAACCTGAGTCTCATTAAAGTGCAGTCTCTGTTCCTGCACGGCTTTGAGTCTTTCGACCACGGGTGTTTTCTTATTACTGCTCCATGTTATTGGCCATTTGTCATTTCTTATCTAATAAGCTCAGGATTGTCATAAAGTGAACCCAGTTGTTCAGAACCTGCAGTCTATCCCACTTGCCATCATGGGGTTGTTTATGAACCAGAAAAGGTGCGGAGGGAGCCGCCTGACACCTTCTCATCCTTGCTTCTGGGTTTGGATGTCTTTTTCGCTGTGTTGTTGTCACTGTGTGGTCAGGTGTGGTTTTGTGACTTTTAAGAAGCAGAGCAGCAAAATTCGAGGAACCGACCGCAGATGTCCCTGAGCACAGGGTCAGAAGCAGGCTCTGGGCTCTGCCTGCCTGTTTTGTAATCAGAGCTGACACAAAGCACTGGAGCCCGAAACACAAAGAACGTTCTGTAAACATTTGCGCATAGTAACCACCTGCAGTGACCTCCTAAAACTCCGCGTGTGGATTCCATTTTCCTCCCCAGCCACATTTACATGCAAGGACGCAAACACGGCCGTGCGTGCTGTCCTTCATTCCACTTCTATCGGAGAAAGCAACTTTTTCATTTGTCAAGGCAGAGTTGCTTTTATCCAAAAGGAAGTGTGGTTCTTATCTTGTTTATTTCATTTCTTTTATATTTTGGGTCTTCACAAGTCTTAGTTTCTTAGCAAGGAACAGACTCAGCCAGATTGACTGGCTGGCATATATGCTTAAGGAAATGCATGTGTGTGACCCGGACAAGTGGCCGTCCTCCTGCGGAAAGTCGATTAGATCCTGGCTAGTATCTGCCAAGTGTAAACCTCTCTAGACGCTGAATGGGCACACCCAACCCACATGTGCATGCACACACACAGACACATGCACACACGCGCACACACACACGCACACACAGGTCCTGAAGCAAGGACCTTTGCTCAGGGAAAAGAGGGCAGCAGCATGTCCAGCGTCTGCATGTTTCAGGCAAAAATAAACGTGGTCTTTCTGAAGCCGTCTCGTTAGCAAAGGACACTGAAGTTCTCACGAGTTAGTTTGACCTCAGCCAGGCTTGCCGCTCGGCACCCTCCTTACTCTTCCACCGTGGGGAGCCTAGTGGCAGCCCCCTGCTGCCCAGGAAGTTCCCGCATCCTGTCCAGGCCCGGCCTGGTCTCGCATGAGGCCATCTTCCTTCTGCCTCGTAAGCTCCCTCGTCTTCCAGCCAGCTGCCTGCTTCCCTTCTGCATTAGTGGGAAAATACGAGCAGTGTCTCCTGAGCACGCCTGCCTCCTAGTTGCGTCCTCAGTGTTCCAAGCAGCACTTCAGTGCCCCTGCCCTGCTGCTCAGCACTGACCTCAGTGCCCCCCGCTCCCTGGGGAGGCGTTTCCCTGCTCCCTGTCATACACCTGTCAGCCTCACCTACAGGCTGCTCGCACAAGGGTCTCAGAGCCCCCACACTAGTGAACACAGGACTGGAGAGTGCCTCTCCCAGCTCCGGGGAGTGGCCAGCATGTGTTTCGGAGCAGACATCAGACCCACCAACAGCCCGTGCATCAGGTGCACTGGCCAGAGCAGAAGCCCACAGGCTTCAGCCTTGGAGAAAGAGGCACCTTTATCCAAAACTCACTATAGCCAGCCCTCCATGTCCACGGGTGCTGCATCTGCAGATTCAACCAATTTTGGATGAAAAACAAATTTAAATAACAAAAATAAATTTAAAATGACAGTACAACAAAAAGCAATCCAAATTTTAAAAATACGGTAGAGCAGCTTTTTCACAGCCTTTACCCTGTGTCAGGTATGGTGAGCAAGCTAGCGAGGGTTTGAGGTGTGGGGAGGACTGTGCTGCTCTCACAGGGCCACACACTTTCATTCAGGGCTGAGGCGAGGGTTTGAGGTGTGGGGAGGACTGTGCTGCTCTCACAGGGCCACACACTTTCATTCAGGGCTGAGGCGAGGGTTTGAGGTGTGGGGAGGACTGTGCTGCTCTCACAGGGCCACACACTTTCATTCAGGGCTGAGCCTCCGGGTTTTGGTATCCGAGAGGTCCTGGAACCCACCCCCCCGCAACTGATACTGAGGGGTGTAACTGGGTGTTTTCTGTTGTTGAAGATCCCAGAGGAGCACGACCTGGAGAGTCAGATCCGCAAGGAGCGGGAGTGGAGGTTCTTGCGGAACAGCCATGTCAGGAGGCAGGCCCAGCAAGTCATCCAGAAGGGTAAGGCACCAACACAGCCAGCCAGGGGCTCGTTCCAGGGCTGGGGGTTGGGGGTAGGGCCCCGTGAGCAGGCCCCGCTCGGCCCCGCACACAACCTTCTCCCGCCACCCACTGTCCCACAGCAGACCCGCCACCCACCTACCCTGCCCATAAGCACGTTAAAGCTGCTGGAAATGACAGGCTCCTCCTCAAGGTCCTGCAGCCCAGAGTGGAGGGGGCGGGGCCGGGGTGGGTGCGCAGCCACCACGGGGAGGAGGGCTCTCCCAACACTCTGCCTCTCCCAGCCCACAGGGCAATGAGCGCAGGTGGAACTCATAGAAGCGGAACGTGGCTCGTTGACATTTCTGGAAGGGAAGGCCTCTGAGAGTCCACGTCTCCCCACCCAGACAGGTGTCTTTGTGCAGGCTCCACAGTTGGCATGTCCTTCCCTGGGAACAGAAAGTGGAAATGGCAGGCCCTCGTTTCCTCGGGTGGTCTCCACCTTGTCCCTGGAACAGTGGCTAGCTCTGTCACCCCACACTTGAGTCACAATTTTCCCAAACCTCCCAGAGTTGCCACCAGATGCCGAATTGCCCCTTTCACCTGCCTCGTTGTTTGTCCTCCTGGCCGCACCCGGGGTGGAGGGCCAGGGAGCAGCCCAGGAGTGGGGACCTGTGCAGAGGGAGCTCTGGAGGAGATCTGGGCTGCAGGTGGCCCCAGGCTGAGGGACTGTGTGGGCATCGGGGAGGCCCTGAGAGTCAACACAGCAATGAGGGTGTCAGGCAGCCCCACGTCAGGTACCCTGGACTCTCCCCAGGATCCAGGACAGCGCCGGGGTCCAGGCCCAGCCCTGTACCTCCCCCACCCCCGCCGAGGGCACTGAGGGTGCAGAGCAGCAGTGGAGTCTGCACTCCTCCCCCACCCCATGACCACAGGCTCCTGCCACTGAGCCAGCTCTGGCTGAGGGACCTCAGGCTACCCCCAACCAAATCAGCCCCATCAGAAAACAACGCTGACCCCAGTCTGCACGTTGCCTGTTCTGACCTTGCATCTCTGGCCTATAAAATTCTAGGGATTATTATGGGTTACTTTCTAAAGCTGGAGTTGATGACCTGTAAGACAGATGCCTTCTGCTGAAGCCAAGGGCCCTGCCAGCTTTGTGCAAGCCCTGCCCACAGGCAGCAGGGCACCTTGGCCTGGTCCTCAGGAAGCATGTCCAGGCCCGGCTCACACCTCTGCCCTGCTAAGCACTGAGGAGAGTGCTGACTTCTGGGACCAGCAAAGTTTCTGAAGCATGTTCCCATACAGCTCTCCCTGTAAAGGCCTGGGGTTCATCTCACGTTCTCGCAGACGGTGGCTGTGGTGCCGAAAGCTAATCATGGTGGTTTGTACCCTCTGTGCATCTGAAGAGCTGGTGGCTGACCAGGCTTACAGCATCCCGTGTTGCGTGCTGCCTCAGCCTCCGCCGCTGAGCTGAACCCTGCGGCCAGGGTGGCTTTCTCCAGTAGAGAACACATGACCCTGTTGGCTGCGGCGTCTCCGGGTGGTGGCAACAAGAGGTTGTTTTCCTGGGAGGTTGGTGGCTCCCTAGGACTCTGCCCTGCTGGCTGGGATGGCCAGCACCTGGGGGCTGCCTGCTGCCTGAGACAGGCTTGGGAGCTGAGTCTGGCTCACACAGTGCAACGTCGGAAGATGAGCTGCCCCTGGTGCCCAAAGTCTCGCTCTGGCCTGGAGGCTGTGGTCAGAATTGAGCAGGGTGTGAAACAGAGCTGGCGTTCAAGACACAAAACCAAGATTTCTAAACTAAAAAAATCCTTGTAAACCAGAGATGGGAGTTCTCTTTGTGAAAAAAGGAGATAGATTGTCCAAACACACAGGAGGAGCTGCTGAGTCAGTGGAGACGCCAGCAAATGAGGCCTCAAGACGCAGAAGACTTTGCCAGTGGGTGTGGTACCGGGAGCCATGAGGAATGAGGCTGCACCCTCCTCCCGGTCCTGCTGTGCTCAGAATTCAGATTCAGGCCACGTTTTTTTTACTTGACAACCAACTGTGTGCTGGGAAAGATGTGAGTGTTGAGAAAAAGGAGAAGCTGTAGATGCCTGTAGATGGAAGAGAGTTAGCCAGAGAGAGTCACCGTCACCCAGGAGATAGGATTGGGAAGTCCTGTGTCTTTCGGGCCCTGGCTGGCTCTTCACCTTCTCCTGGACGACAGTCACGGCTCTGGCTGTCACACACTAATTTTGCGCAAGTACAAAATGTGTGGGCTGGGTGGGGTTCCCCTTTGTCTTTCGGTGCTTGGAATTACGCCCAAACTCCCTCCAAGACTCCCTGTCGATGCCCTCCAAACACTCCTTGCAGCTGAGAGTGAAGACGCCACTAGAGTAACTCAGTGTTCTGCCACACCAAAGCCGAAGCCCCTCCTGATGTAACATGGCTCACCTTTCTGTGGTCTGGGTGCTTGCTGTTTAAGGACAGGAGCTGGGGACTGACAGTGTTGGAAATGGGGTAGCTCACCCAAGGTGCTGAGCACACCAAGTGCCGGCGAGGCTTCAGCCTACAGACGCTGCAGCCCTGGTGCCGCCTGGACAGTGCCAGGCACAGGCGGAGGGGCTGTCAGCTTCTGGGGCGGGGGGGGTGAGTTGTGGCCTTGGCTGTGCTTAAGCCCAATTAGAGCGGCCTGCAGTGGAGTGCCCAAGTCTTGTGGCTTTGACCTTGCTCCCTGAGGGCAGGCTCCTTCTGTTATAGGACTTTCTCTTTAGTCCAGATAAAAATGGGGTCCCTGTCCACGACCATGAAAACTTAGGCTCCCAGGCACTTTGAAGGGTGAGAAGGGCAGGGTTGATTGGGTGAAAAGGAAAAGGGGGAAACAGGTCATCTCCGCGAAGCCAGAGTCTTGCTGGAGCGCTTCCTGCCTCGCAGACTGAGTCCCAGGTTATGCCCCGGATCTGGAGAGGCCGGGCTCCTCCTCCTGCAAAGGGCACCAACTTCTGTGGCTCCCCACTGTTCTCCCAGTGTGCAGGCTGGTGGAGTTTCTCTGGGGACCCCTTTATACTTGGCTGTCTTACTTCCTGCCAGAGCACAAGCCCACCACTCCCCAAAAGGAAAACTTGTGGCCCGCCGCGGTCCTCCAGGCTAGACCAGTTCAGCCGAGGATGTGGTTGGTAAGAACCAGGTGGCCTCGCTCCATACCACCTGGAGCTGTGTCCAGCTGAGGAAGGCTTGGGGTCTCCAAGATGCCCCCCTGGTTGCCCAGAGCCATGCAGGTGACTGCGGCCAAGACCGGGAGGTGGCCCAGCTTCCGTCCTTGGCACTGCAACAGACCATCAGGCTTATGCACCCACAGACCACCAGCCGCTCTGAACAAATCTCAGCTCAGTCACTGAGATATGTTGGAATCCATCTTGACCCCTCTGTGTTTTCAGCTTCCTTTTATGGTTCCTTATAGAACAAAGCCTTTCAAAGTCATGAGGGAGGGACTTATTTTCTAGTGCTGGTATTTGGGGGCCTGGTGATTAAGTCCACTTCCCCTCTTACGTTAAATGTGTGGTTCTGTAGTAGATCCCTCCATCAAGGAAGTTCATAGTTGCAATCTTTCTAGACTGAAAGACCCGACTCTGCCCGCGATGTGGACTGTGGCAGCCGCACCTGTGTCTCCATCTCAAGTCTGTTAGGAATTAGAGCCCTATTGAGCTTTGTTCTGAAACCTTTAGCACTTTATTTGTATAATCCAACCCAGATAAATGTACAGGAACATGAGCACCAATGCCGAGCTTCGCCGAACACTTCCACGAATCCAGCTTGGCATCGGGAGCTTTGGGGGTTCTGAGCAAAGGCATGGACCCTACGGCCAGCGCCCCGGGCCCTCACTCTGGGAACTCAGTGGCTGCCGTCCCCACTGAAGGCCCAGATGTGCCTACTCCTCAGCAGGTGGTCAGGCCCCTCCCTTCACTCTGCTTTTCTTCTGCTTCCTTTGTACCTCTCCAAGTCCCCAAGGTATTGATGGCGGCCATGATAAGATATATCATGAATATTTATTGTAGATTTAGACTGGCTTGCTGGGCACAGTGACTCATGCCTGTAATCCCAGCAATTTGGGAGGCTGAGGTGGGTGGATCACCTGAGGTTGGGAGTTTGAGGCCAGCCTAGCCAACATGGTGAAACCCTGTTTCTACTAATAAAAATTAGCCGTGTGTGGTGGTGGACACCTGTAATCTCAGCTACTCAGGAGGCCGAGGCAGGAGAATCGCTTGAATTCCTCCCTTCCCGGGAGGCGGAAGTTACAGTGAGCCGATATCATGCCACTGCACTCCAGCCTGGGCAAAAAGAGGGAAACTCCATCTCAAAAACAGGAAAAAAAAAAAAAAAAAAAAAACTGGCTACTGGCTGGGTGTACACTTGTAATCCCAACACTTAGGGAGGCCAAGGCAGGAGGATCGCTGGAGTTTGAGACCACACTGGGCAACCTAGTAAGATCCTGTCTTAACAGAAAGCCAAAAAGTAGCCAGGTTTGGTGGCGCACGCTCTAGCCCCAGCTACGTGGGGAGGTGAGGCCGGAGGATCACTGGAGCAGGAGGCGGAAGCTGCAGTGAGCCGTGATCACATCAGTGTACTCCAGCCCTGGCAACAGAACAGGACTCGTCTTTAAAAAGTAGGAAAAGGGGAAAAGGCGCTGGCTCCTGGATCCATGCTTGTGTGTTTCTTTTGACAGGCATCACGAGATTGGACGACCAGATATTTCTGAACAGGAACCCCGGCGTTCCCTCTGTGGTGAAATTCCACCCCTTCACTCCATGCATCGCCGTAGCCGACAAGGATAGCATCTGGTATGTACCGCGCTCATGGGGCCCTACTTCCAGCTGACTGACAGCCCCAGTGATACCCCATTCACCCCCCAGCACCGCTCCTCTTCCTTGAAAAGCAGATCAAGGCACTCACCCGGGACCCTTAGCGCCGTTTCCCAAGAAATGCCCCACTCACCTTCTCTATGACTGAGCTGCGCACACACGCACCCCATGTGTCCTGCCTGCAGGTCACAGGGGAGTGGCAGGGGCTCCCTGATCACACTTGTAATAGAGGTGTGCCCAGGGGCCCCAGCTTGCTGCCCCGTCTGCAGAAGCAAGTGTGTGACAGAAAAGCAGTAATAAGTGACACCAGGTGCCCAAGAGAAGTGGGTTTAGTTCACAGCCAGTGTCACCCTTATGTAGTGGAGAGAGTGCCCACCTCATGGGGGAGGTCCAGCGGGAGGCTCTCTTTATAGCTCATGAAATCCCTTTGGTTCATACCTCTGTTTCTTTTTCCTCTCTTTTTAAAAATTGTGGTAAAACATACATCACATAAGATTTGCCATTTTAACCGTTGTAAGTGTGCAACCAGTGGCGTTCAGCGCATTCACATTGTTACACAACCAGCACCTCCACTGGTCTCCGGAAGCTTCTCATCACACAAACCAAAGTGTGGTCCCATCAGGCCCCAGCTCCTCCTGCGTGCCCCTGACCCAGCGTTCTACTTGCCTCTCTCTGAAGTGGCCCCCGCTAGGAGCCTCACACCAGTGGAGTCCCTGGGGGTGTGGCCCCTTTTGCCTGCCTTATTGGACTCAGCATAGTGTCTTCAAGTTTCCCCCAAGGTATAGCACATGGCAGAATTTCCTTTTCATGGCTGAGCAGTATTCCACTGTGTGGATGGCCCACACTACATCTATCCGCTCATCTGTTCATGGACACCAGAGTCGCTTCCACCTTTTGGCTATTGTGAATAGCGCTGCTGAGAACATTGGTGTACAAGTGTCTGTTCAAGTTCCTGCTTTCTGTTTCTTGGGGATGTGCCCAGAGTGGAATTGCTGGACCATCTGACAGTGCTCTGTTTAATTTTCGGAGGAGCCCCCTGGCTGATTTCCGCAGGACTATGCCTGCTTCCCTCCCACGGGAGAGCGCGTGGGTCCCATTTCCCACATCCTTGCCAGCACCGTTCCTCTTTGTTTGGACGCAGAGTCTCGCCTTGTTGTCCAGGCTGGTCATGAGCTCCCAGGTTGTGACAGTTCCCCTGCCTCGGCCTCCCGAGCAGCTGGGATGGCAGGCAGGGGCCCGTGAGTGGCTGGGATGGCAGGCGCGGGCCCGTGAGTGGCTGGGATGGCAGGTGCGGGCCCGTGCTTGGCTGCGGTGTGTGGTTTTACAGCTGCCATCGCCCCGGGTCGCAGGCAGTACCTCACTGTCATTTGGTTTGCAGTCTCCTAATGACTTTTCTCATTCCTCTTATTCCCTGAAGCTTTTGGGACTGGGAGAAAGGGGAGAAGCTGGATTATTTCCACAATGGGAACCCTCGGTACACAAGGGTCACTGCCATGGAATATCTGAATGGCCAGGACTGCTCGCTTCTGCTGACAGCCACGGGTGAGCGGGGTTTGCACAGCCGGGATCGGAGCCCAGAGTCTGGGGGAGTGGCAGGGGAGGAGGACATACGATCCTGAGACGCGTTTGCACGTCTGTCTTACAGACAGCCCTGCTCATACGTGAGGGCCACTGTCATCCAGAAGTGGGGAGGCTTATTGGGGGGAAGGGCTTCAATAGCAGAGGCAGGAGAGCAAAGATGACCCCATCCTTCGGGTTATAGGGACCTGTCTTTTCATCTCGGTCCTCTGGCCCTTCCATCACCAGGAAGAGCCTCTGTTCTTAAACCCTGTGGGATACCGGGTAGGTCCCATGTGTCACCCAAGAACCGGGGAGGGTTGTCCCAAGCCCCGACACATGCCGAGTCCTCTCCAGCCAGGGTCTCCTGGCGTTGCCGACTGGTTCGCCACTGGCTGTGCCCACCAGGCGCTGGCACCCACCTCCTCAGGTCCTGTCCTACGTCCGAAAGGACGTCCTTGACTGTGGTGGTTGCTGAGCAGTGGTTCATTGGCATCGTGGGTCTCACTCTGGTTTTGGTTTTCTTGGGGTTTGGGGGGTTTTTTGGAGGGAGGTTCAAAATGTCTTAGTTTCAGGGGGTTGGGGGTTTTTGGGGGGTCTTTTGGGAGGGAGGTTGAAATGTCTTAGTTTTGGGGTTTGGGGGGTTTTTTGGAGGGGGGTTGAAATGTCTTAGTTTCGGGGGGTTGGGGGTTTTGGGGGGTCTTTGGGAGGGGGTTTGAAATGACTTAGTTTCACCCTCAGTTTGAAACAGTTGTTTCCACATCAGTTCCCCCACGTTGACAGCCGTTTTCCTTTAGCGCTTTGAAAACCTGCTTCCATTGCCTCTCATGGATGAGAAGTCACGTCAGTCAAGCTGCACTTCCTGTAGAGATTAGAGAGGCCGGGAGGTGGGTGGGAGAGGAGGGCACAGGTGAGGGAAGCGAAGGCAGATGCCCAGATCCCACCCAGCGTGTCCCTGTCGGCCCCAGCCCCGGGACCCCTGAGCCTCTACAAGTGTCAAGTTGGTTGTGCTGGCAAGTGTGCAGCCCTCTCTCGGCGCCGTTGAGGGCTTCTGGTGAGGGGCGTAGCCATAGGTACTCGTCCTGGTGCAGCCCCTCCTCTGACCAGTGCCACCTCAGGACCAGGTAGCATCAACCCATGTCGAAAGCCCGCCCTCCTCCCTGTAGCTGTCAGATGTGACAGGGAGGAGATACATAGTGGCAGGAGCAAGGACCAGCCAGGCTCAGCCCAGGTTTCAGAGGCCAACTGTGGGCATCTCTGAGCACCAGACGGGGAGGGCAGGTCCTTGGCTGAGAGAGCAAGCACTGGAGAGGGGCTGGGGTCCTTTACAGAGCAGGCTCCGGACAGCAGTGGAAGGGCTTCAGCTCCAGACCCGGGAACATTCAGTCTGTGTGATGGAGAGCGGGAAAGGCAGGCAGGTGGAGGAGAGGCCATCAACCACGAGGGCAAGCAGCTGGGGCTTGAGGGCACCTGGGGGCCATGCAGGAGGGGCTGGAGAGGCCAGGGGGCAGGGTTCCCAGAAGGCTCAGAGGACCTGCATGCTTGCCCCACACCCAAGCCAACCTCCCCACCGTCTGCTGGAGGACACAGAGGGCCATTTACCTCATTCTAAGCCCCTAAGAGCAGGGCGGTGCGTCCCTGCCCAAGCCTTAGGCAGAGAGTCCAGACGTCTGTGTTGTCCCTTCAGGTCAAGGCTACTTTCTCTGTGGAGCACAGATAGGAATGGGGAGGAAGGAATAAGGGCCCTGTGTGTGTCCTTTGTGAAGCTGGCCTTTCATTCTGCTCCCTGGCACAGGCTGGCTCACCAGAGAGTAAAACGCAGTCCCACCCACCTAACTGGGCTTCACCCACTTGCCTCCCCTCCAGGAAACCCCATGGCCCCGAGCTGGAGGGAGGAAGGGGCAGCCTTAGGTCCCAGAGCAGTCAAACCTCACTCAGAGTTGAGCTCTGTGGCCAGGGTGGGACAGGATTGTGGTCTCCCATCCCCCCGGGCTACGGCTCCTCCCACTGGCTCTCCCAGATGTGGATCTCAGGGCAGAGTCAAGTCGGCGGGCACCCAGAGATCTGGAACCATGGTGGCAAGTCATGCTGCCCACCCAGCTCACTGCAGCAGGTCGGCCAGGCAGGGCTCTTACTGCCACACAGAGCACAGGCCAGGCCAGCCGGGGCTGCTTCACCTCCTTCCCTCTCTTCCCTCCCCAGATGATGGTGCCATCAGGGTCTGGAAGAATTTTGCTGATTTGGAAAAGAACCCGGAGATGGTGACCGCATGGCAGGGGCTCTCCGACATGCTGCCTACGACGCGAGGTGGGTCCGGCCAGCTCCTCCCACAGCAGAAGGTGCTCCCGGGGCTGTAGGCATGCTCCAATTCGACGGTCCCTCTGGGGCTGTCTCTACACAGGCTGCTCCCCCTCAGAGTCCCTGAAATCCCAAAGCAGCAGCCCCCCGCCGATGTCCCCAGAAGCGCGTGAGCCCCAGACCCCTGAGTGCACTGCCTGGCCGGAGCCCCAGGGCTGGACATGGTCAGCCACCCACAGGTGCCCTGTCCCTGACCTGCTGCCTGGGCTTGCAGACCTGCTGCTTGGGACAGCATCACTGCTGGCAGGGCCTGAAGGGCCCACGTCACGCACTCGCACTCTCTGGCCCCAAAGGTAACTCCTCCTTGGGAGTGGGTGCACATGGCCACCTGGGGTCTCATGTGCTCGCCGGCCTGCCTAGGCTGGTGGAATGGAGCGGCTGCAGTGCCATCTCTGTGCACAGCTCTGCGTGTTGCCTGCGCCACTGCACAGCCTGGGCGAGGGGCGGGGCGCAAGCCCGCAGGTCCTTCTGGAAGGACTCAGGCAGAAGTTAGGAGGCTCACGGGGTCTGCATTTCCAGAAGCCCCTCGGCAGCGCCAGGCATTCACCTCCAGGAGTCATTGCCCTTCAGCGAATCCTGCAGCCCTTGGCGATGCTAAGAGTGAACACATGCCCCCTCTGGCCCCCACTGCCGGCTCCCTCTGCCAGTGTGTGATTTCTGTGTCTTTGTCTGTGGCCTGTGGATGTAGCCTTACACCTCATAGTCGGCCGTCTGTGTAAGGCCTGCGCTGGCTCTGCCCCTCTGTCCCAGGAGATGCAGCCCTCACATGCCTCAGGGGCCTCATGGGGGCAGCTCCAGGGTGGACATTCCTCAAATGCTGGATGTTTTTTAAATGTAGCCATGTTCTTAAGTTTCATCGAGCAAAAAACATCACACCCAGTACTCCACTTGCCTCTGTCCCGATCTCCAGGCTCTGCTTGCCCCATGGGGCAACCCTCATCTGAGGTGTGACAGTTTCCTTGGGACAGGGCAGGAGAGGTGAGCCCCAGCCCAGGCCCTGGTCAGGAGGGGTCCCAGGAGACAGCTGGGTGGCCAGCCTGGGGGGTCAAGCCACTCGCCGGCCATTGAGTGCATCTCCGAAAGACCAGTTTTGGTGACACTGTGTCATTTTCGAGAGATGAAAGATCAGTGATCAAGGAAAGGCTGTTTTCCAGGCATCGCTCAGAAGCAGTGGTGCCGTGGGACAAGCTGGGCTTCAGCACGGGAGCACCTGGCCAAGTCCTGGCTCTGCCTTGCTCTTTCTCTCGTTTGCTTTTGTGAGAATTTTCCACCCAGTCCAAGGCTTGGACCTGCTGGAAACGCAGTGCTAAAAGGACACACCTGCAGCTGGCACCGGGGTCCCTGGGACCCCCCCGGAAGCATCCACACGTCCATGCCCAGGCCACGCTGCAGGAGACAAGACCTGCTGCCTGTGCCTCGGTCTCTCATGGGCTCTGGGTCTCTCTGGCTCAGGACAGCGGGGCCCAGCTCACACATCAGGAAATAGCACCAAGGAGGGACGTGGCCTTCTTAGCCCAGACCCCCCAGTGCTTCCTTCAGAGCAAGAGCCTGTGCTGTGCTTCAGGGGTCTTGGGGATGGAGAACGAGGCTCTTACCTCGGGGGAAGGCAGCAGAGGAGTCTCGCTGGACGTGAGAGCTCCAGGCCCCAGGCCCGGAAGATTGTGTCAGCTGTGGTCTGGGGCTGCCAGGCACAACCCTGGAGGTTGTGCCTCCAAGCAGGGTGTCACTGGGCACTGGTGGCACAGGACATGGGAAACCTGGGTGTGGGCAGCAGGCAGGTGTGTCACTGCTGCTGCAGCTTTGCTATGTGTCCAGGACTGGTTCAAACCAATTCCCTTGGTGTCACAGAATCTGAACTATAAAGGGACTGGGGATCACCTGACTACACCCCTCGACACCAGAGGCCCAGGGTCGGACTGTGGCATATCCCCCACACCGGCATGTCACTGCCTTACCTGGGTACCTCGGCCTTCGTGCTGGAGACAGGGCCTTTACAGAGGTGATTAAGGTCAAACCAGGCCACCAGGGTGGCCCTAACCCAGTGTGCCAGTGTCCTTATAGAAGAGGCCTCCAAGACACAGACACTCGTGCAGGGACGGGATGTGGGTGGCGAGTGGTTCCTGGGGCGCTGGCTCAGCATCACCCAAGGAGGTCACCGTGTCACAGGAGGGCCTGAGTCCCAGCAGGAGAGCTAGGCCATCCATCTCACTGGCCCAAGGGTAATTGTCATTGACTGGAATACTACTACATGAATCCAGAGCCGTGAATGCTGACCACGGCATGGCCACTACCCTTCCTAAGAGGTCACAGTCACCGGGACCCAGTGTTGGCATTTGATAGATTAATAGTGTGAGCAGTTGGCAAACCTCCACAACGTGACAGTGAAGGGAATAAATGACTCACATGAATGGCCAAGGACCAGACACTCCATCTTCATGGGTACTCCCTGAGGACCCACCACACGTCTGACCTGGTCACCGCGGGGATCCGGGGAGCTGCAGAGGTTTCATATTCCCCGGGAACTGAGGGGCTCAGACCCTCTTCCAGCTTCTGCTGTGGGGAGCCTGCAAGAGCCCCAAGGCGCGACCTCCACTCGTCCCAGCACCCACTCGCCTCTCCTGGACTCGCCCCAGTCGGGGTGCCCCCAGCTCAGGCACACACACTGCAGGCTCCTGCCTTGGCCTCCCAAAGTGCTGGGGTGACCGGCGTGAGCCACCATGCCTAGCCGGTGCATTTTCAAAGTTGTGCAGCCACCATCTTTACCTAGTTCAAAGGATCCTTGCCACCCCAGAAGGTGGCCTGCTGCCCGTTAAACCAGTTTCTTCCCATAGGTTCTTATTATTCATTTTTGAGACAGGTACTCACTCTGTCACCCAGGCTGGAATGTGGTGGCACCATCACAGCTCGCTGCAGCCTCAACCTCTCAGGACTCAGGCGATACCCCCACCTCAGCCTCCTGAGTCGCTGGGACCACAGGCCCTCCCCACCATGCACAGCTCCCATAGGTTCCTGGCTTAAACAGAGTGGAACCCGAAAACGTCTGCAGCTAAGCTGTCTGTGCTCATACATCCGCCTCCAGGTCTCAGAGTGGGACCTCCCGGCAGGACGGCACTGGGCCCTGGTAGAAGGAGCCACTAAAAGGGATGTAGCAGGAATCTCGGGCAGTGTCCTCCTCGGTGACCCAGACGCCACTTCCCAAGAGCATGTCTGGGGTGGGCAGCAAGTGTCCTTCGTGATTAATTTAGGTAACAGCATTTCACGAGGGAGAGGGGAGCTCCAATTCTGTGTTTTCGGGCTCTGTCAGCTGCACGGCTGCAGCAGGAGCTGGGCTCTCCTGGGCAGAAGCAGGGAAGCAGGTGCCCTCTGCCTGGTCATACACTTTCCCTCACTGTGGTCACAAGGCCTCTCACCAATGGAGCAGGGCTGCAAGGTGAGAGCCTGGGACCCACCAGGGCCCCTGCTTCTGACCTGCTGGGGGCAGGGGCATCGCCATAGGGGGCTGTTCTTTTTCCATTTATTTTTGCTTGTGTTTGGTTTTGGTTTCGAGATGGGGTCTTGTTCTCACTGCAGCCTCAACTACCTGGGCTCAAGCGATCATCCCGCCTCAGCCTCCCAAGAAGCTGGAATATAGGCGCATACCACTATACCAGCTACTCTTTTATTATTTATAGAGACAAGGTCTCGCTATGTTGCCCAGGCTGATCTTGAACTCCTGGGCTCAAGCAGTCCTCCAGTCTCAGCCTCCCAAAGTGCTGGGATTACAGGTATAATAAACACATCTGGCCTGGGACTGCATTTCAAAAATAAATAATATATGTATGCTAGCAATTAACAACTAGAAAATATAATTATAAAACATCACTGGCCGGGCATGGTGGCTCACGCCTTAATCTCAGCACTTTGGGAGGCTGAAGCTGAGGCCAAGAGTTCAAAAGCAGCTTGACCAATGTGGTGAAACCCCATCTCTACTCAAAATACAAAAATTAGCTGGACATGGTGGCAGGTGCCTGTAATCCCAGTTACTTGGGAGGCTGAGGCAGGAGGATCACTTGAACCCTGGAGGTGGAGGTTGCAGTGAGCCAAAATCACACCACTGTACTCCAGCCTGGGTGACAGAGTGAGACTCCATCTCAAAAAAAAAAAAAAAAAAAAGGAAAAAGAAATCATGGACAACAGCAATAAAAACTTCAAGATACCTAGGAATGAATCCAACAAATGCTCCTTCTTCACAGAACAAAGCATAAACTCTAATTGAAGCTATAAAAGGCACATGTGGTATTGATGGCACCATAGCCATGGATGAAAAGACTCATCATTGTGAAGATTGGCAGTTCTCAAATTAATCTGTGGATTTATTGATACACTTTGATTATATTCTCAGGAGAGATTTTTGTGAAATGCAGAACAGCTGAGACAGTATTAAAGAGGCACAGATGGCATTATGAAGCTGCAGTCGTGGGGCAGCCAGGCCAGGAGGCACCAGGGCCCTCAGCACAGCAGTCAGCCCAGAAAGGGGAATGTGGCAGGGTGCCTTTGCACACTGAGGGAGGAGCCACGTTGCAAAATGGTGTTGGGACAGCTGGTGCTGTATAGAGAAAGATGCAGTGATACCCCTACCTCACACCATGCACATAACACATCACAGTGAGAGACCTAACCTATAAAAGCCTTTAGGAGAAAAACAAAGAGGAAATCTTCATAACAGTGAGGAACAAAAAGACAGCTTGAACAGGAGACCGAGGGTAAAGACATCAATAGGTTTGACTGCACACTTCTTCGTGACCACAAGAAAAATGTCACGGCTGTAATGTAAGTGGCAGAATAAGAAAGGATATTTGCAGTATCTACAAGTTACAGAATATATATAAAAACACATGCGACTGTGCAAACACCTCAGGTCAGTAAGGATTTGGGGACACCGGCTCATGTGTGTTCTGCCAAGAGTATAGATGGTCACCCATTGAGGGAATGAAATAGCCTCCCCCAGGGAAATCGGAGGCGTGCAGGATGCATGACCAGCAGTTCCGTTTCTAGGCGCTTCCTTCTCCGCCCGCAAGGACATGTGAAGGTGTTGACTGTGACATGGTTCACAAAGCCAGGGACAGCTCAAACGATGGGGTTAGTTGTGCAATCGAAGATAACATGAGATCAAGTGAGTTAACCAGAGCTGTATGTCTCGGGCCGGATAAATCCTCAAAGCCTAACGTTGAAGAAGCAAGTTGTGGCTGGGTGTGGTGGCTCACACCTGTAATCCCAGCACTTTGGGAGGCCGAGGCAAGTGAATCACCTGAGACCAGGAGTTCAAGACCAGCCTGGCCAACCTGGTGAAACCCCACCTACTAAAAATACAAAAATTAGTTGAGTGTGGTGGTGAACACCTGTAACCTCAACTAGTTGGGAGGCTGAGGCAGGAGAATCACTTGAACCTGGAGGGCAGAGGTTGTAGTGAGCCGAGATTGTGACAGAGCATGACTCCATCTCAAAAAAAAAAAAAAGAACCAAGTCACTAGAAAATAGGACCCATTTTGACATCGAAGCACGTTTTAGAATGTGGAAGGCTGCGGTGTTGACGGGCGTGCTCAAGCAGGAAGACCTCAGCGGCCCTGGGGAGGCGCCCTCAGCCCAAGGGACAGCTCTCCAGGCAGGGGCAGGGGGAGCTGTCACTGTGTCTAAAATTATGCTTTTCTAAGAAAATACAAAAGAGCAAATAGTGGTAAAATGTTAGCAGCGTTAGAGCTGGCTGGTGGGTACAGGGATTACGGTGGTGTGCTTTTCTGTATGCTTAAAATATTTATCATTATACTTTTAGAAGTGAATCTGCTTTTAAGTAGAGGCTGTCATGTGAGGTGGGGGTTGCTCTGCTCTGTCTAATCCCAGCACAAAGAATAGCCCTTGCCCGTTCTCTCCGTCCATCCCTTGCTGACGCTGGCCATCCGGAGTCAGCCCCTTGCTGTCCAAAGCTGCCAGCCTGTGGCCCATGCCAAGCTCCTGTTTGTCTCAGAACTGGCTTCCTCCAGCTTTGACAGGGCCAAGCGGAGGACCCTCATCTTCAAGCAGTGGCAGCCTTCCTAACGTCACCGAGACCTGCCCATTCTGCCCAGGGTCTGGACAGTGGGCATCTGGACAGGCGTTCTGGGAAGGCCCTGTTCCCTCTGGCAGATGACTGGGGTGTAGTTGAGTCAGGGTGAGGCTCGGAGTTCCAGCTCAGAATTTGGTCCCATCCTGGACGTGGGGCACACCAGGAGCCCCCATGGGAGCTCATGAGGGATGTGGGCCCGCCAGATGGGCTTGTTGGTGTCAGGTGTTCCTTGGAGCCTCTGGTCAAGTGGCTGCCCATGGCAGGGCCCCCAAGCCTGTTTGAGGTGAGGCCCACTGGGTGACCCGTGTCCCACTGTGTCTCTCCAGGAGCCGGGATGGTGGTGGACTGGGAGCAGGAGACTGGCCTCCTCATGAGCTCGGGGGACGTGCGGATCGTCCGGATCTGGGACACAGACCGGGAGATGAAGGTGCAGGTAACTACGTGGGTCCCCCCAAGCCACAGTCCTGTGGTGCAGCGTGTGCACGGCTGGGCCTCCCCAAAGAGCCCAGCACAGTGTGCAGTGAAGCCCGGCCATCCTGGGGCAGAGGCGGGGCCTCGAAGGACAATGCTTCAGTGCTGGGAGGGGTCATGGGCTCCGTGAGGCCCCTGGGTGCGGGTGAACCGACACAGCCTGCGCGGCAGTGCAGCTCAGCCTGTGACAGCTCTGAGTGTTTTCAAATAGTGTCTTATCTATGCAAATTAGGGACCATCAGAAACTGGTAGGGTGAGAAATTGTAAATTAGAATGATTATTTGTAGGTTTTCTGTTTTTAGGTTTTTGGTTTTTTTTGAGTTGGGGTCTCACTCTGTCACCCTGTGTCACCCAGGCTAGAGTGCAGTAGTGCAGTCACAGCTCATTGCAGCCTCAACCACCTGGCCCAAGTGATCCTCCCACCTCAGCCTCCCAAGTAGCTGGGACTAACTTTTTTAACTTTTTGTGGAGACGGGGATCTCAGTGTTTGCCCAGACTGGTCTCAAACTCCTTGCCTCCAGCAGTCCTCCTGCCTTGGTCTCCCAAAGCACTGGGATTACAGGCGTGAGCCACTACACCCAGCCTCTGTGCTGCTTAAAGCATCTGTTGTTTTTAGTTTTGGCGAAAAGGAGCCACTGGTTTTGCCTGAGACAGCCTGGAAGAGTGACAGAGGCCCCGCAGGTGCACCCAGCAGAACAGAAATCCAATGACCTCGATTTTGTTCGGAGCAGAGCGAGACCACAGATACTATGAGGGCAGCACCTGAGGTGGCTTTAGGGCCAGGATTTCCTTCCCCCAGGTCCCCAGGGAGAGGTGTGGAACAGAGGCCATCCCCAGCCTCTCGCCTGGGCCATTTGGTGTCAGGAGGGATGACTCAGCCCTGCCATCGAGGGCGGTGTGGAGCAGCCCCAGCAAAGGGGAGGCCTGGGCACCCTCACGCAGCTGCTCGACACCACCATGCTTGCTCTGGGCAGCCGCAGCCTGAGAACCTGGCCCAGGCTCCTCCCTCGGGGCAGCCTCCCTTCTTACCTGACCAGCAGCCATAATGGCACCTCCTTTAGTGAGGTCCTGCACCTGTCTGGAGCCGGGGCCCTCAGGGCACGGTGGGGACACCGAGACCCCAGGGTCTGGTCACCAGTTGGGGTTGACTCTGGTGCCCATCTTCACCAGAAGTGAAGGGTCCTTCAGTGATGGTGCTGTTCCTGCAGAGGTGCGTGGAGGCGCCGAGCATGGTGGGTGCTCCCTGAGCTGCACCCTGTGCCTGCACCCAGGTTTCCTTGGAGTGCATGACCCAGTACCAACCACTGTGCGTGGAAATCGCTCTCCCTCTCATGGCCCCTCCCAGGTGCCATCGCCCCCACCCCACTTCTCCAGCACTTACAGCCCCGAGGGAGCCGGACGACCCTCCTGGACTCGTCCCGAAGCTCATTAGAAGTTCTGAGAGGCCACTAGCGAGGAGTCCTTGCCAAAATGTGCTTCGCTTTCCTTTTGAGAAAACAGAGAGAGGTTGCAAGTTTAATTGGCACTGACAGCCAGTCTTTCCCAGAGGTGTCTGCAGGCCACTGCTTGGGGTGGGACTGGGCTCTGTCTGGCTGGCTGGGGGCCCAGATGCCTCGAGGGCCCAGGGAAAGGGAGTGACTCAGTGCCCTGCCAGCCCCTGCCTCTCCCTGTGACTCCCGGGCTCCCCCAGCCTTTGATGCTTCCCTGGATAGAGAGACGGCCCCTGCATCCAGGGAGGAGATCCCCACAGCTGTGGCGACATCAAGTGGGGTCCCAGCACTGCAGGATAGCAGGAAGGGCAGCTTGGTGCCTCGGGCTTCACCAGGTTCTCTTGTCTGGCCCTAGGACATCCCCACGGGCGCAGACAGCTGTGTGACAAGTCTGTCCTGCGATTCACACCGCTCACTCATCGTGGCTGGCCTGGGTGACGGCTCCATCCGTGTCTACGACAGAAGGATGGCGCTCAGCGAATGGTACCTTGGCCCCACGGTCTCTCTCCCCCACGGCTGGCAGGGCACCTTCTAGGTGGTAGAGGCTACTTGGCTGCCAGGTGGCTGGGTCCAGGTTTCTCAGTGAGATGTAAAACTTCCCTGGGAGCCCATGATAGAGCATTTAGGCCAGTCATGCTGGCTTCCCAAAGCCACCAGGCCCACGCCACAGAGGCCCATCCCACAGAGGCCCACCCCACAGAGGCCCATCCCATAGAGGCCCATGCCACAGAGGCCCGTCCCACAGAGGGCCATCCCACAGAGGCCCACCCCACAGAGGGCCATCCCACAGAGGCCCATCCCACAGAGGCCTGTCCCACAGCCTGTGGAGGAGCACAGAGCACAGGCCGTGTGGGATAAGCCAGTGGACTGGAGGCGGAGACTCTCAGGGTAAGGCAGTGCCCAGCCAGGCACCTGCCACCTCTGAGCTTATCTGAGAATACTGCCACTGCCTGCCACCTCCCAGGTCATGGAACAAATGTCCAGGCAGGAGTGTCTGAGGGCACACACATGCGTACAGCAGCCCCAGGCACTGCCTCTCAGCTGAGCACCCCCATGGGCAGGTGCCATTGCTGCCCCCAGGTCTGGCAGAAAACTGTCATGGCCCACACTGCTCATGCAGGAGAAGTGAATTCCACCTGGCATGGAGCGAGGGTTCCAAGAAAGTCCCTGTGCCCCAGCTTCATCAGCTTTAGGTCTGGGATTCTCATTCCTGACCTTCAGTCTGCACAGATGGGGCAGACACAGTGAGGAGTTTTGGGGGAAGCAAAGTGAAGGGTGGGCAGGGTGTGGGAACACTGCAATGGCCACTGTCTCCGTGGCCTTATGGTGACCTAGGACCCAGCCCTGAGCCAGCCGGGGGAGAACACAGGGGGTCTCTGCAGGAGCAGGTCACCCGGAAGGGGCTGTGACCTGTGTGGGCCCTAGTCCTCGTGGGGGTGGACGGGAGGGAGGATGGGCAAGGGCCTGCAGACCCCATGGCACAGGCAGATCCAGGCACCTCCCAGTGGGAGCCCTGGTTCCTGGACTCAGGGCCATGCGCCCAGTCAGTGAAACCTGTCCAGTTGTCCCCAGAGCCCTGGAGGGTGGGGACGTTCTCCTGGGCAGCTCCCCCCCCGCCCCCCCAGCTGAGCGTGCCCGCTTCCCTGCAGCCGCGTCATGACATACCGAGAGCACACGGCCTGGGTGGTTAAGGCCTCCCTGCAAAAGCGTCCCGACGGCCACATCGTGAGCGTGAGGTAGGAGCCCCAAAACCTTGCAGCCGCTCTGCTATGAAAACATCGTTTTCCTTCCATTTAAAATATGTCCTTGGTATTTAAACAGCTGGAAGGGGATGGCATTTCGGGCAGTAATTAACTCCTATCCTGGGACTGGCCAGAAAGGTCAGGCCTGGCCCACGGGGGCCCAGGGGGACAGCTGCTCCAAGCCGGGGGACTCCTGGCCTGCAGCCACCTCAGGAACTTTCCTGGGCTGCTGACTGCAGAGGGTGCAGCGGGAGTTGGGCAGCTGCTCTCCCTCAACGGGCAGGGACGTCAGGGCGGTGGGGCTGGCGGGGGCAGCGGGGGTGGCTGGGGATGGTAGGGGGGCGGGGGCGGTGCGCCTCCCAGGCATGTGGCTATAAATTCAGTTCTGCCGCTCGGTAAATACAGCACCGAGAGCAGTGAATATTTATTTGCCTATTAAAGAGAGAACAAAACGTAATTTATGATCACAAAGCCAGCATTTCTTCAAAGAGATGCTCTTTTCCCCCTTGTTTGTGATATAAAAACCTAACATAACTCTTGGGATGGACGCCTGCTGGGAGTGGAAGGCAGGAGCCTCAGAAGGGCCGGGCCATCCCTCAGGCCACGCATCCGCCATCCAGCCTCCGTCTCCCGGGACTGCAGGCCCCAGTTGCATGAAATCTGCTCTCTGTAGCTCACAGCCTCCTCCTGCATCTGTGCTCATGGCCATCTCTCCAGGCCAGGGAGCTCCGGGCCTTTTCTGGCTCTGGGGGAGTGGGGTGGGCAGCCCTTACCAGGGGTGCTGAGAGTCCAGGCAGCTTTTTCCCTGAGCCACATGTGTGCAAACAGGTGTACAACCCCACACACCCAGGTTCACCGTCCCCCTGGCCAGGCCCCTCCTGGGGGCTCCAGGAGGAGGTGTCACCGTGACCCTTTCTTGGCAGTGTGAACGGAGATGTGCGCATCTTTGATCCCCGGATGCCCGAGTCTGTGAACGTGCTTCAGATCGTGAAGGGGCTGACGGCCCTGGACATCCACCCCCAGGCAGACCTGATTGCGTGGTAGGCACCGACCACCTCCCAGCCTCCCTGTCACCCGCTCGGTCCCCTGTGCAAACAGCAGGTGCTCGCCCATGTTCCTGTCCCCACAGGGCCTGCTAAGGGAGGGCAGAGGCGATTTCACCACTGTTGGGAAACACAAACACCAGGTCTCCCTGCTGTATCCTCCTTCCCAGGACAACTCCCAGGCCCCGCCAGGCCCGAGTCCTCAGTGAGAGGGACCAGAGGGTCACCCTGCCCTGGCTGGCTGTCCCTGCACTCTGTCTCTGGGCCTGTCTTCCACCCTCAAAGGAGAGGGCAGTGATGTCGACCCTTTCTGTCCCCGCAGTGGCTCCGTCAATCAGTTCACCGCCATCTACAACGGGAATGGAGAGCTAATCAATAACATCAAGTACTACGACGGCTTCATGGGCCAGCGGGTCGGCGCTATCAGCTGCCTGGCCTTCCACCCACACTGGGTCAGCGCAGCAGGGGGCGGGGCTGGGAGGAGAAGCGTGAGGCAGCCTGCCCTGGCCGCACCACACCAGAGTGGGACCCATTGGCCACCTGAGGGCGAGGCTTCCCCGGGACCCAGGATCTCTAGGGCTCCCCCCCAGGAAGCAGAGCCCCAGTCCCATCACTCGGGAAGAGTTGACAGTGAACGCACCGTGGCCAGCATGGAGCTTGTGCCCTCAGAGCCTGCACTAAAGCCATCCCTGGGGAACCTCCAGGCACCACCCCCACGTGCAGGGCCGTCACCTGCACGGCTCCCTGGCCTTCTTGCAGCCTCTGCACGTGGCTTCAGGCTGCTGTGTTTATATCACGATTCTGCCCACCCGCCTTCCTGTGGTGTGAGGTTCCACAGGAGCCAGGCATGCCACTCTGCCGACACACGTGACGTGAGATGCCCAGAGCTGGCCCTGTGGGGCGGTCCCAAAAAAAACATGCAGGACCCGTGGGCAGTACCACAACCCTCACAGAGTGCCCCATGCATTGGCCCTGCAGAGGGACACAGTGGGTGGGTACCACCCCCTCACATACTGTGCATAGGCCCTGCAGAGGACTGGTGGGTTCCAGCCCAGCATTCCTGGGCCTGAGGTGGGCGTGAGGGTTCCTGAGACCCGGTGGGAGCTGGCTAAGGGTGTGGGTTGGCCTGCGCCTCCCCACAGCCTCTCCCTGAACCCCGGCTCACCCCTCTACTCTCTCCTCGCAGCCTCACCTGGCCGTGGGAAGCAACGACTACTACATCTCCGTGTACTCGGTGGAGAAGCGTGTCAGATAGCGGCGTGGCCCAGGCCTGCCAGGCCACGGCTGCCTGCTGTACATAGTGAAGCTGCCACTCACCCGGGCATGGGGCATCGGCTGCCAAGGTCCCGCAGTGTGAACGTTGTGCCGCCATAGCTGCTGGACAGCAGGAGGGCCCTGCCACTTGCTTAGCTGCTGATGACGCAGGAGGGCCCTGCCACTCGCTTTCGTCTGTCTTCGCTGTCGTGTCTGGATGTCAGGGAAGGGGAGGGCCAGGTTGACGGTGGCTTCCCACACAGCGCCAGCATCCAGGTGTCCCCCACAGCCGCGGCGCCACCATCCCTCTCCTGCTCTGTTTCTCTGAGACATTGAAAGGGGAAACACCTCATTTTATTTCCATGTGATCAGAGCATTAGCTGCAGAAAAACCCCCAGACAGAGGGAGCCCCAGCAGAGAGGCAGGTGTGGGGCTCCTATGGGTCCCTGGGGCGACTGCCCCCATCAGGCCAAGAGCTAGTGAGAGGTGGCACCCCAGACAGGCCCACCACCTCTCACGGTCAGTGCACGCAAGTGGGGGACATTTCCTAGCCTGCTGGGGACACTGGAAATTCGGGAAACCAAGGCAGGGGGAGAAGGAGATGTCCCTCCAGCTGGCAGGTGTGAAGGAAGCTGCCCAGGGCTGGGGGTCCGGGCTGTCCTTGGCCACTGGCCACATCACTGAGCAGGAGGAGCGCACCCCACCCCACCCCGCCACACCCCACACCTCCAGCTCTCTAGACTCCAGTTTGGGCCCCTCTCACACAGATCTGTCAGCCGGGGGCTCTGGCCGTGCACTGGGGAGGCAGGTCCTTGGCGATGTAGCCCCTGCCTTAATCCACAGGGCTCCTTTCCCTCAAAGGGCTGCTCTTCCTCGTAGGTGCAGGGACAGTGGCTGGGCCTGTGGTCTCCAAGCCTGTGCCCACACACAGGCGTAGTACACGCATGTGCAGGCACCACGGCCGGCACCTCGGGGCGTACACACAGGCAGAGGGTCTGCCTGCTGTGCCCTCGTAGTCCATCACACGCAGGCGAGAGGCACTGCTGGGCCCCAGGCGGCTCTGGTGACACCAGCCCCGTCTCCAGCCCCCAGTTGTCCTTGCTGATGCGACCTTGGCTCACAGCTGGGTGTGTAGTGCAGGCAAGCCCCGTGGTCCTTGCCTCCCCATGTGTCAGGCTGTGGGGCAGTCCGTTATTTTTCCATGTTTGTCGGAAATCAGGATTATTCAGAGGTAGAGGAGCCAGGTGGCTTGATTCTGCCCACGACCGTGGGAGTGAGAGCTGGGCAGCGAGGCCCGGCTCCCTTGCACTGTGGCTGGCATCCTGCTCTGGCCAAGAGCATCTTCTGGATGGATGGCGCCCTGCCTGGCCACGCTGGGCCAGAGAAACACCTGGGCCTTGGAGGCCTGAGCTGGGGCTGGCAGGGACACAGGCGGCCCCTCTGCTGCTCCTTTTCAGAATGCGAGCTCGCACCAGAAGGCTCCACCATGAATCCCATCCCCACATCCGGGTTGAATGAGCAGCCTGGGTCCAAAAGGTGTAGAGAGCCCCGATCCCACAAGTCCCAGCCTCGCTCAGCTCACAGGCCATGCCAGGCGGCGACACCAGAACCTTCCAGAAGCCCAGCTCCACCTGCAGACACAGCTTCTGACCCATCCTTCAACTCAGTTCTTACCTAACATGCGTTTCTGTTTGTTTTGAGACAAAACCACCACCTGTCAAAGTGCAGGTGGCTCCAGAGGGGGCAAGGCCCTCCCACCCCCACTCCACCCCAGAGCCCACCCTCGGGCACCACGTGCCACCTGCACATGGCTGTGTCTTCACAGGTCTGATGCGAAAATTCAATCATGACGTAGCCAAGGCTCGAGAGCGCACCGGCCTCACGGCTCATTATCTCTATTTATTTTACCAAATGCAAATTGAGAAAGACTTTGACGAAACCCAAAATTGAAATGTGAAGCAGTGACAGAAGTAAACTTCACACGCAGATACGTGGCTGGCGGCTGTCTTTTCAGGAAACTGCCCACCTCGCCTCGGGGGCGTCAGCCAGAGCAGTGCTCTTGGGGGAATGTTGCCCGGGTCCCCCAGGGCCCTGGCAGCACTGCATCCTGGGTGCTCTCCAGGTGGCCACCACAGCCATGGGGGCCTGGCATGTCTACGGGTGTGGGAAGGTCTCAGTCCTCGCCTCCCAGGCAGCAGTCTCTCCCAGGCAGTGCCCACAGTCCTGTAACACAGACCCCACATCGGGGAGCACACTGTAACAACAGCCATCCTGTGATGTAGACCAGGCACATTTCTTTCTGTTTAAAATGACACAACTATCCTCTCATTCAGGTCTCTGCATTGAAATCTGGATCTTGGCTCACTGCCATCTCTGCCTCCTGGGCTTAAGTGATTCTCCTGCCTCAGCCTCCCGAGTAGCTGGGATTACAGGTGTGCACAACCACACCCAGATAATTTTTATATGTTTAGTAGAGATGGAGTTTCGCCGTGTTGGCCAGGCTGGTTTCGAACTACTGACCTCAGTGATCCACCTGCCTTGGCCTCCCAGAGTGCTGGGATTACAGGCATGAGCCACCACACCTATCTTACTCTGGCCAGTTCTTGAAAGGCTCCTAGTTCTAGATGGAACTTTGCTCTGCAGGCCATGGCCTATCCCTGAGGCTTTTCCCACACAGGAGGGTCTGTGCAGGGGTTGGGAACTGGGGAGAACGCTCTGGAAGCCACAGCAGAGGCAACAGGCTGGGCACGGCCCTGCAAGGCAAGTGGGAGACAAGGGTCTGTGAGGACAGTCATGGGGTTGCCACCTCAGGGGCCTGACTTCCTGGAGAGCTTGGGAACAGGCTCTTGTCCCCCTGGCACCTCTTGTCTGCGGACAAGAATTGGGTCTCAGGCATTGAGCAACTTGCTCCAAGCCTTGCTTGTTGGGTGGCAGCAGGGACTGGGGTCCTAACCCTACCCCAGGGCCACATGTGGAGACCTTTGCTCCGCCGCTTAGGCAGGGTGGGTCAGGGCTGGAGGAGTGTTAGAAACAGATGCTCAGTGCCGCAGAGAAGACTTAGCACCGAGACAAAAGATCTCTCAGCAAAGCAATTTTTACTTTTTTACTTCCTGTACTGCAGGAACAGTACCATCACCAGCCATCTTGCCACGAGAGTACCATGAACAAAGAAAAAGCAAAGCATATTTATCCTTTACCCATTTGGGGTCGTCCTTACTGCTGTGTCTGAGCTCCATTGGCTGGAGCCAGACCTCACCATTTAAACTGAAATCCGATTGGCTAATAACTTAAAACTTTTCTAAACAAGTAAAAGCAATGGAGAGCTGGAACATGCCTGTGAGCACGTCCAGCACAGATATCTTGGTTAAAGTCCAAGGACATAGAACATACTACGTGCCTGTAAGCACGGCATGTTTAACAGCTACATAGGATACGGCTTCACAAAGAGTTATTGGCACACTTATGGTTTATTCTTTAACTAGAAAGGAAAGTTTAAAGAGGAGCTTTTCTGCTTCCCACAGGGAGCCACGCACTCAGAATGCACAGAGGGCTGTTGCACCGGAGCAGGCTGGTGGGAGTGGCAGCTGGGGATTTCAATGCCAGGGTGATGTGTGGAGCCACCAGCCCGCTGTGCATTCAGAGGGGGCACCTGCTACCCGCTGGGCCCCCACCCACCACGGCCTCACCCCCAGGGCTCATGACTCCTCTGGGAAGTCCCCTCTGCTCAGCACAGCACTAAATGGCCCGTCTGGGGCATTCCTTGTGTTCATGTCATTCCTTGTCCCAGGAGAGGTGCTGGCTCTGCTGCAGCCTGGGCCCTGGGAGGAGCAGAGGTCAGGAAAGCGCCTCTGGAGGCTCTTGACAAGGTCATTGGAGGGTGGGCTGGTGCGGGGATCAGCCAGGCCAGGGACAGCAGCAGTGGCTGCTGTGGAACAGGCAGGTGCACAGAGGCCGGGGGGGGTCATGGCCAGGGGTGGGGGCACAGCAGAGAACTGAGGGCCAGGACTTGGGAATAGCCCAGGCCTCCAGACCCCTGTGCCCCCAAAATGACAAAGCCACTCTGCCCAAAGCTTCCTGTGGCTGCAGCCACCAATCTCCACAAGCCAGCGGCTGAGAACAACAGACTTGGTCTCACCGAAGGCAGCTCAGTATCAGGCTCCCTGGGCTAAAATGAAGGTCTTGGCCGCACTCCCCTGGAAGCCCCGGACAGACCCCTTCCTCACCCGTTCCAGCTCCCAGAGGCAGCCTGCAGCCCGTGGCTCCAGCCCCTTCCTCTCTTCAGAGCCAGTCCTCACCCACTCACTGACTCTCCTGCCTCCCTCCTCCACTCTTTTTTTTGAGACAGGGTCTCACTGTCACCCAGGCCAAGTGCAGGTGCCACTGCATCCTCGACCTCCTGGGCTCAAGCAATCCCCCCACCTCAGCCTCCTGAGTAGCTGGAACCACAGGTATGCACCACCACGCCTGGCTAATTTTTGTTACTTTTTGTAGATGGAACTTGGTCTCACTATGTTGCCCAGGCTGGCTTCAAACCCTTTTTTTTTTGAGACAGAGTTTCGCTCTTATTACCCAGGCTGGAGTGCAATGGCGCGATCTCGGCTCACTGCAACCTCCACCTCCTGGGTTCAGGCAATTCTCCTGCCTCAGCCTCCTGAGTAGCTGGGATTACAGGCATGCGCCACCATGCCCAGCTAATTTTTTGTATCTTTAGTAGAGATGGGGTTTCACCATGTTGACCAGGATAGTCTCAATCTCTTGACCTTGTGATCCACCTGCTTCAGCCTCCCAAAGTGCTGGGATTACAGGCTTGAGCCACTGCACCCGGCCCGAACTCTTTGAATTCAGGGGATCCTGCTGCCTCGGCTTCCTAAAGCCCTGGGATTGCAGATGTGAGCCCTGTGCCCGCCCTTCCTCCACTTTTAAGGACCTTGTGATTACAGTGGCCCCCCAGGGTGCTCCAGGATCACTTCCCTAGTTTTTAAGATCAGCTGATCCAACCTTCATTTCATCTGCAACCCAGATTCCCCGAGCCAGGTAGTCACAGGTTCCCGTCAGGATGTAGACATCGTTGGGGACGCTAAGCTGCCAACTAACCCCTGTCTATGAGCCAGACGCCTTCCTGCCAGGCAGCGCTCACAAACTCCGGGGTCTTGGGTAGACACAGGGGAGGGTGGGGAGGAGATGCTCAGTGGGGTTGGGGTAAGCGCTGGCCCCTAGAGGGCCTCCCAGATCCCGGGGCCAAGGCATGGAGAGCTGGCCCTGTGTCCGGGTCCTTGGGGCTGTCAGCAAACCAGCAGATTCCCCGTGACACAGCGACTGCTCCCGATTCCAGCCCAGGTCAGCACGCACAGCCCGGAGCGGGCAGTTGCCATGGGAGCCTGCGCGGAATCGCATTTGTTTGAGGCAAGGACGCCGGCACTCCTGCATCTGCACCTTGCCTGCTCCTGTGGAGAGAGTCGTATTTTTCCCATTAGCTTCAGCTTTTCTGTCACTGAGACCTGAGTACAAATCGAGTGCTTGTCAACATGGGGGATGAGCCAGGCCCACACCTGCCCCTGCCGCTGCCAGACCCTGCGTGGCCGTGGTGGAGGGCCAAGCCTGGTGGCACCATGTGGAGCAACGCTCAGCCTCCCTGTGAGGGCTGGGGTGGCCACAGGGGCTGCCTCTCATGGGGGCTCCTGCTCAGCGCAGCTCTGCTGGGTAGGACCGCAGGCACCTGCCAGATGGGTAGCTGTGGCCTCCAAGACACATCTGTGCCCAGCCCCCTTCCAGGGGTCTCAGCAGAAGCCCTCGGGAAGTGGCAGAAGAGTTGGCCTCTGGGGGTCTGCGTCTCAGTTACCTGGTGGTGAGGAGCCCACGGGCCCCCAGATGTGGGACAGAACCTCAGAGTTGGGCACAGAAGGGGAAAGAGCCCTCAAAAGACAGACACCATTAGCAGAGAGCTGCCCTCCCCAGACACGGAATCTCCAACACCTTGACCTTGGACTTCTCAGCCTCCAGAACTACAAGAAAGAAATGTCCGTTGCTCATCAATTACCCGTAGGCTCCGAATTTTGTTACAGCAGCATGAACAGACTAGGACCCAAGAACTCACTAAGGACATGGGCGCTCGGAGTCAGGAGATGAAAATCCAGGCCTGGAACAGCCAGAGAAATGGACACATCCAGCAGCCCCAGGGACCCACGGCTCTCATGGGCATGAGGCCAGCAGCCCGGCCCTGAGCCCTGTAAACCCCTCATCTCTGGGGGAAGTCACCTGGAGGGGCCCGTGTGGCCAGAACTGAGGCCTCCCACCCACAGCCACTCAGGCAAGTGTGGAGGTGACTCCCGCAGCCCCCCAGAGCTCGCCCCGCCTGCCGGGGCTTCCTCCTGCCCCCAGGCCTGGCCTTCTCGCCCCTTCCTGGCTCTCTTCAAGCCAGCCCTCCCGTCATCCTTCCCGGGCTTCAGAACACAGGCACAGCCCACCCAAAACACACCCTCCAGGCCCCCAGGTGTCCCCTCCTGGCTGCTCATGTCCCCTCAGGCACGTGAGCCTCCCAGCCGCCCAGTTCCAGCCACCACCATCACTCCCAGGGGCCACTGCAGCAGCCTGCAGTTCCAGCACCACCCGAACAGGCTGCTTAGCTCCGTGCCTCTGTTACCCCTGTGGAACGCAGATGGTCCCCTGTCCTGGAAGGCTGGCTGTGTGGGAGCTGGGGCAGTGGCATGTGTGGAAGCCAGGGCAGTGTTGTGTGTGGGAGCTGGGGCAGTGTCGTGTGTGGGAGCCGGGACAGTGTCGTGTGTGGGAGCCAGGGCAGTGGCGTGTGCGTGGGAACTGGGGTAGTGGTGTTCGTGGGAGCCAGGGCTGTGGTATGTGTGCAGCCTGTGACCCTATGTCAGCCAATGTCATCTAACTGGTGCCACGTCTGCCCAGGGTCTTAGGCCAAAGGCTGATCTCACCCCTATGCCCCTTCCCCTCAGGGCCGTTCCCGTCCATCCAGCTGCTCTCA